CCTAAGTATCCGGCTTGGCAAAACCTCCCCTCTGGCTCAGCGCCGGGGAGGGATTCATTTAAGCCTCCCCTCGAGCTCAGCGCCGGGGAGTAGTTCTCTCGCCTCGGACCCTAAGTGTACGGCTCGGCAAAACCGCCTCGGACCCTAAGTGTTCGGCCCGGCGAAAATCTCGCCTCGGACCCTACGCGTTCGGTTCGGCTTCCACGCCAGGGAATGTATAATTCGCCTCGGATCCTGAGTATCCGAGGAAGCTTCGGACCCTAAGTGTCCTATTCAGATCAGAACTCTTTCCTCTGGACTCCAAGTGTTTAATACCTTGTGTATGCGGATATGTCGTAAGTTCATCATATTCCACCCCACATTAGGAACACATGAGAAGGAAAGAGTATGTATACTGAAGGCAAGTAGAAGGAGAGGAAGGTTCATTTAACAGTTAAATCATTGTCCATACGACTCATCCTGGGATATCAACTAAACTGTTAAAAGGATCTCCTTCTTCCCAATCCTTGCATTTTCACGGATAACATAAATCCGAAGTATAAAGATAATGTTTAGTGTTTAAACATATTACCAGTCAGAGAAATATATCAAGAGCATACAGCAAAAACAGGTCAGGCAAGCCTAAAACGAAAAGTTATATTCATTGTCCCAAAATAGGCTGTTCACAAAAAAAAAAAAAAGAAAAAAAAAAAAAAAATACATAGTTCTACTTCCTCTTCGGATCGAAGGGAGTAGATTCAAAAGCATCCACTACATTAGGACTTGAGGTAGCCGCAGGAGCAGGGGAGCTAGGAGTACCCTTCAGATGTGCCTTCACCATCTCGGCGAAGCGAATTTCAGCTTCCAAAGCCTCTGGCCCTTCATCATATGGGAAGTGCACCCCTACCTGCTTGTCAAAGGCGTCCGGATCCATCGTCTTAGGGCCTGAGCCCTGATTATAGCCAGACCGGAACGCCTTCGCACTAGCCAGGTGCGCCAGACAGGAGTAACGCCCCTGCATTTGCTTCCCCGCCTTGAAGCAAGTAGTAAGAGCCTCGGTCAGGCGTTGAACCTCGGCCTGAAGAGAATCCACCTTAGCCTCAGAGGCTGACAACTGCCTCTTATACGCATCCTTGGCTTCAGACGCTATCTTCAGATTGGTAGAGGCAGTAGTGGCTCTCTTCTCTGCGCTGTCAAGATCCTTTTCCAACTTCTTAATGGAGAGGGATTGAGCTTCAGCAGTGGCGCAGAGGGCCATGGTGTGGTATAGACTCTGTTTAACAGGGAAGCGAATATAAGCATAAATAGAAACACAAGCAGGCAAGAATAGCATAATTCTGAAGGTGCAATGCAAACCTCTATGGCCCGGACTGGGGCAGAGGGGAGAAGTTGCTCCAACCCCATTTGGCTGATGGCTTCCTCGTCCTTTGGGAGCCACATTCCTCGAGCCACCGCCAGTGCAGCTGAAGGGTCTGTAACCACAGAATCCCCTGAGTGTAGGACTGACCTGTCAGCCCTGGTGAAGGAAGGAGTCCAAGGAGCTCCGGACTCAGCAAGAACAAAGGCCCTGACTTCATCTTCAGGTTCAGCCTCCCCAGCCTTTTTCCCTCTGCTTTTAGAGGGGACTTTGCCCTTGCCAGAGGAAGAGGGGTTGAGGCGAGATTTCTTCAATGGTGGTTCCTCAACCTCTACCTCATCCTCGGCTGATCCAATAACGACCAAGGGCTGGGCATCTCCGGCTTTCTTTTTTAAAGCCTCAGCCCGCCGTATCTCCTCCTCGGTCATAGGGAAACTGTCAAAGGATGGTAAAGCCAGGTCCATGAGGTCTGCAGCAACGGCACTAGAGGCAATGTCCTTAAGGTTGGAGGAAGTTAGCAGGTCCTCGATAGGCGAGGGGTTACTACAGACTCGTTCCTCAAGAAAAGAAAGCCTGTTCCTTGCTGTGGAGGCCGGGAATGTAGCTGAAAAAACACCAAGAAATTCATAAATACGGCGAAATATTAAGACTTGGCAAGGAAAACAGCCAGAACACTTGGTATGAAGGGAGGTTAAATATTCTATACCTAATTTCCCGAATTTGCGCGGAATGGGAAGCGCAATTGATTGGGACACGAACCATTTCCCTTTAACTACAACCATCCTTTCTTTCCATTTCTTTTCGGATGAAGGAAGGTTCGTGCATATCCTTTGGTGAAGGGGAGAGGTAAAAAAGAAGCGACCAGGCTCGGTCCCATGCTTAGATATATTGTATGTAAGCAGAAGGTCAGCAAGGGTCAAATCCAGAGCCTCTAATTTCCGGCGCACCAACAACGCCGAAAGGATGCGAAAGAAATTGGGATTTACTTGAAGGGGGGCAAGACCTAGCTTATTGAAAACTAAATGATAGAAGGGATGAAGAGGGAATCGGAGGGCGTTAAGGTGCCCTACAGAAAGAAGCAACTCATCCTCTTCAATTCCCTCGCCGGAGGTGAAATCGGCACCCTCGGGATATTCTGCAATGTCTACTCCTTCAGGAACATCAAATTCTTCCATTACCGAAGCAATAGAGAATTTGATGCGGCGAATAGAGATGATTGCTTTCTTCTCTTCATGGGTAAGAACGTAATTAGAGCCTGAGGTGGTTGTTTCGGTTAGAAGAGGGGAAGTACCTGACGAATTCAACGAAGGGCGATCTGTAGAAACCCTAGGAGGGGGAGCCCTAATGCGAATGGGGGAAGACGAAGGTGTGGATTCAGAATCCCCGATATCTACACGTTCGGGAGTAGATGAAGTACTCATAATGAAAGATTGAAGAGAAAGATGCGAGACTAACCTGACAAAGTGAAGGAAGCGATGAAACGAAGGACGCAGAAGTGCAGCAAGGGCAAATGTAACTCTGGCAAAATCTTGTGCGAAGGAAGTAATAACGAAAGGCCACGAACCGTTTCTGAAGCAAAGTGAAAACCGGTTTCAATTCCCTCTTTAATAGGAGCCGTCACTCAATTAAAAATGGAATTTGGGGCAAAGTGTGGAGGGAAAAAAACTCCCTCCAATAAAAAACACACACGTCACCACTACCCATATCTACAGGCCAAGGACATATAAGGCCCATCATGCTCAAGCCCAAGTTGAGGGTATTTACAGCCCAAGATCATTCCATCAAGGCCGAATCAAGAAGCTATCAGCCCAGCTTGTCGTCAGCCCAGATATGAGTATTTAACATCCGGCCCGTTACCCAAGCCCAGCCGGATCAAAATATATTCAGCCCAAGAATGCACAAATCCTACCATTTGAAGAATTTACCATAGAAGGAAAATTCGGATAGGAAGTTCTGTACAAGGCAAATTCTATGTATGGAAAATTCAACAATGGAAAGAACTCTATTAGAAAAGAATGATTATATAGAAAGAATTGGAGGGCAAGCAACGCGAGTCCTACCATAATTCTGCAATCTTTTGTATATAAATAGAGGCTAAGACCTCCAATAAAGGATCAAGTAATTCCACACTTCTCTATACATTGTTCTTATTTATTTTTATTGTTTTTGAGTGAGTTGTTTTATTTTTCTCAGTCATTATTGGTTGAGCGAAATTTTGCACCTACAAACACCTAGAAGGGTTTGGGTAAAAAAAAAAAAAAAACAGTCTACAAAAAGGTTCCGGATATTAAGAAGGAGGTTGTCTGGCTATATGTAGCGGGCATCGCTCCTTAAAAAAAGTATGTATTTGGATTTTTCGGGAATGGTCTGAGGAGACATTGTTATTGTTTATGGTATGAGGAGACCCTTTGATTTATTAGCAGAATTTGTGGAGTTTTTTGTTGTCGTGTGACAGATTATGACAGATTCAAGGTCCTCGACTGTTAATTCTGGGTGGTGGTGCCATTTTTCCCACCAACTCATCAGAAAATCCAGGACTTCAAATCACCACAGTGAAGTTGGATGGTTCCAACTATTTGATTTGGGCACAGTCTGTCAAGATGTTCATTGGTGGCAGAGGCATGATTGGCTATATTACTGGTTCCAAGAAAGAGCCAGCTGAGTCAGAGAAGGCATATCCACAGTGGTTTGCAGATAACGCTATGGTTATGTCTTGGCTAGTCAAATCTCTGCTATTATGGTAAGTCATTCCATAAATCGTGGATATCATATATGCTAACACTCCCCCTTAAGTTGGTGTGTGGATATCTGAAATGCCCAACTTGAGGGGGAGTGTTAGCATATATGATATCCACGATTTATGGAATGACTTACCATAATAGCAGAGATTTGACTATGCATATGTTAGCATATATGACAGCCACGATTTATGGAATGACTTACCATATTAGCAGAGATTTGATTATGCTATAGAATATGCCATAGAATATGTTTTAGAATATGTTGTGATTTGATTTAGATTTGATTTAGTTTCCTTTCTTGTAATATGAGCATGTGCTCTTTTTATCTATAAATACTAGAGCTATGAATTAGTGATTCATCTCATTCGATTACACAATTCTCTCCTTTTTCTTCTTTTTATATTTCTACTAATACCATCTGTCATGACCCGCCCTGCTGCGTGGATATTGTCCGCTTTACACTCTTCGTGCTTACAGTTTTTAAAACTTATCTACACAATTAGGAGATGTCCACACATATAAGTGCCAACAACTCTCCCCTAAGGCAATGTTGGATCTTCTGCATCAAATCAAAAGCTACATCATAGTTGTGCATGCATGCATGTGTATTGTTCCATTTGCTACTAACTTGGTAAAGTTTCATATCTACTATCATTATTTGATATGATATTATACCATGCTCTGTTGGGAAGAGGCTTCATTTGTTGAGTATACTATGCCTGTCATAATGTTCTTTCATGTGATATGATATGAAAATTGATTAAAATTTCTTAATACGGATTAACTCAAACCAACAATGTTATTTCTTAATTGGCTGAGTTCAATTCCAATGATCTTTTATTTCCCCCCATAATTCTGCTATGTACAGGATCCTCATCTCACAGCCTCGCATTTAATGATTTTCTTTTTTGATATTATGCTAGGTAATCATTGAGTCGAGCTTGGCATGAACTTCAATGGGCACTTCAGTTCTTGATCACTGAGGACAATGAATGTTGACTTGGAATCTTGATACTGCATGATTATTGATACTGGCAAAAACAACATGACTTGGTAAGGTAAGTTTATTTGCCTAATAACCAAACAGGTTATGTAATGCTTAATGTTGGATGTTAAACCCCCTATCTTGGTTTTCACATCAATGTCCCACTTAATGTGGGTGAATTTTTGGATTGGTTAATGAGATAGCTGGTTTCTTGTCCAAAAGTGTATCAGCTTCTTTAGAATATTTCATGAGTCCACTTTCATCCTCCTCATGCTTTTGGGGAGTGTCCTTGTTGAGTGGGGAGGTGGTTTGTTTAGTAAAGGTCATTCTTTGTTTTTGCTTTTTAGAAGTATCTATCATCCCCTCTTCATGTTGTATTATCTCATTTGTAACAGTATTCCTCATTTTCTAATAAAAATATCATAATCTGTTTTGGTATTTGGTTTCTTTTCGCTGTTAAAAGATGAAGAAGCTGTATTGGAGTTTAAATATAAAATTTTGAATGCTTTATTAGAGTTTTATTGAATCAATTTCTTTTCACCCATATTTGGCTTGTGGCTTCTGAGGAATCAAATAATCATGTTTTGTATATTTGAATTTGATCTGACTATTTTTAATAATGAGTTTATTATGTATTATCTATATTATCTTAGGTTTCATAGAGTTACCTGGTTTAATGATTTGATTTGGTCATGTTTTTTTTTATGTTTGCAACTCTGTAATATTCTATCTCCATCGGATGTTCAATTGCCTGCTAAGTTCTATTTTTAACTTATTCTGACCTTTTCATTTCTTTATCATAATCAACTTGATAAGAAATATATGGAAGACACGCTTGCAATTGCTAAAGATGTTAGTGAAGTAAGTTTTAATATGAGGCTTCACTACTGATTTCAGCCTTCTGTCACTATATTTCTTGCTTTCCCGATGCACAGGTAATAGGAGATATCCCAATGGTTAATGTTAACAACATTGTGGGTGGTTGTCTAGCCCGCACTGCCAAGTTAGAGATGAATCAGATGATGGAACCTTGCTCCAGTGTGAAAGACAGGTATTAATCTTTTTTTTTTTTTTTTTTTTTTTTTTTTTTTTTTTTTTTTTTTTCCCTAATTGGTGGTACTCACACACCTCCCTCCAAGGAATTGTTTGCACCCAAGAGGAGTCAACTTAGACCTGATGTTTCCTGAGGCACCAGGGTCGAGTGACTTACCCACTTGAGCCAATCCCTTGGGGTTAATATTATTTTTCTTTTGGAACTTATTATTTGTCAGTTTAGTAATTTGCTTTACAATGGGATTATGTTACAATCATGGAAATGCAATCACATAATACAGATATTTCAAAATTTTGCTATATGCAAGTGTGGAAATACAGGTATTTCAAAATTTTGCAATATGCAAATGAACATCTTTCTTGCATGTAGGATTGCATTTAGTATGATCAAAAGATGCAAAAGAGAAAGGCCTGATAAATCCTGGGAAGATTAGTTGATTCCTTTTATTGGGTATTTTCTGATAAGATTCTTAAGCACATGTTATACCCGTTTTGTAAGAATTATAGCAAATTGTAGTTGGCTTCAAATAATGTTACGCTTCCTACATGCTTGGATGTGACTTTCTGTAACTCCATGGATTTGTTTTAGAGTGGTTGATGATCAAACGTAGGTTCAATGTTTCAAGAGAAACCAACCTGGGTTTTACAAGGGCAGTTTTCACAGGAAATAATCTGGATTATTATAATTTTGAACTGAATTATCTAAACATTTTCAAAATATGCTAAAATACCGTTGGCTGAGGACGGTCCTTAATAAGGCTACCAGTGGTAGTACCGGCGTTGGTTTGTCATGCATGCAGCTGCTAAGGGTTATAAACTTATCCTAGTTATGTTGTATTTATGTAGTATTGAGAGAAGGAATGTTCTTCAAGCATTTGGAGCAGACTGTACATCACACACATAGCCAAGGGCTGATGGGGTTCTTCAAAAGGCGCGCAAGTATGTACTAGAAAAGATACCCAATAGTTATTTTCTTAAGCAATTTAAAAATCCTGCCAATCCAAATGTATTCTTGCATTGATATCTTGTAATGTGAAAAGATGGTCAGAAAGTTTTAATGGGTTTGTCATTGTGTAGATTCATTGTGAAACTTGTTGTAAAGCACAAAACGGAAGCGAAGAGAGAAATGAAACACGAAAAACACAAGGATATTACGTGATTCAGCCACTAGGGCCTACATCCACGGCCTAAAGAGCCCAAAGGGCTACATCACTTTATAATATATTCTCTTTTAATCTTTGTATACAATGATCACCTTTATTTATAGGTGAAAGAATAGAGGTGATAAATATGGAAAACACATGAATGGAAGATTCCTAAAATCAATATCATAAATCACTCCAATCATATTCTATTATAGGCTAGAATCTCTCCTATGATATGCTCGTATTAAATATTCTGTCAAGGAGTAATTTAAGGGTTCTATAATAATATTTTCCAAATATAACATCTTCTAACACTCCCCCTCAAGCTGAAGGCCAGCTTGCATATTAAATCATGAAACAGATCCTTTTCCAACGATTTGGAAAAAGACAATAAAACTGCTAGAGACACGGTAAAGGCGAAGAACAATGCTACCGAACACATTGGCAACCCAAATAAGTCCACATGGCACCGAACACATGGCGAAGGTGACGAACAATGCTATCGAACACACCGACAACCCAAACAAGTCAATAAAAATTGCCAGAGGCATGGCAAAGGCGAAAAGATTACCGCCGAACAAACTGGCAGCCCAAACAAGGAACAAGTAACACCGAGAAACCCTTAGCAACATTTCGGATGCTAAAGGAATACCCCAAAATAGGGGTCTGCAAGGGAATACCCCAAAATAGGGGTCCGCAAAATAGGGGTCAGAACCTAGGAAGAAAATTAGGCTCTGATAGCATGTTGTAAAGCACAAAACGGAAGCGAAGAGAGAAATGAAACACGAAGAACACAAGGATATTACGTGATTCAGCCACTAGGGCCTACATCCACGGCACAAAGAGCCCAAATGGCTACATCACTTTATAATATATTCTCTCTTAATCTTTGTATACAATAATCACCTTTATTTATAGGTGAAAGAATAGAGGTGATAAGTATGGAAAATACATTAACAGAAGATTCCTAAAATTAATATCATAAATCACTCCAATCATATTCTATTACAGGCTAGAATCTCTCCTATGATACTCTCGTATCAAATATTTTGTCAAGGAGTAATTTAAGGGTTCCTATAATAATATTTTCCAAATATAACATCTTCTAACAAAACTAATGGACCAGAGATTTGGAAAAGCTCTGAAGGGAAACTAGGTGGACGGTAATGGGTGCAGGGAAGTTCCTCAAGAACAAAAATTCAGCGATAAAGGTTGACTCGTGTGCGTGTGTGCGCGCACGAGCGCGCGCGTGTGAGAGAGAGAGAGATCATCTTTTCTTTTTTCTTATGTCGTTGGGCTCTTCTTTTGATTACATCTAGGTGTATGGTGTGGAACCAGGGCTGAAAGTGCTGTTCTGGATGGAGGAAAGCCTGGTTAGTAATGATATCTTTCGTGCCTTGGTTCACTTTTCTCTTTGCTGTTTTTTAATTGAGTATTGGGTAGTTGCAATATTGTTTCGTGGTTACAAGACACATTGGTATCTAGGAACTTGGTGCATGCTGATATTGGGTTTCATTATACCAAAGTGTCATCCTTTTAAAACATGTTGTCACGCATTACATTAATGTATTGTATAATATAACTAATAGGAGGAGAAAAAAATGTAAGATAAAGAAACAAACCACTTCATATTTCCTTGAAAAAGATCCAATCTCTTTTTTCTCAGTACATAATTCGTAATAATGAATTATTGGTTGTCCATATTAAGTGGTATTATTCATTTTGCCAACTTTTGATGGGAGTGTCGTTAGCTTTTGCAAAGAGTTCCTACGTTTAAATTTTTAGGTGTTTTTACTTTCTTTTTGTGATAGTAAGACACACCCTTCCATTTGGGAGTTGAACCTTTCACCCCTTCTTCCGTGGCGGCAGGACATGCCTCTTAAGCTAACAAAATGTTGGCAAGATTCTATTATTAGTTCTTGTCCAAGTTTTCTAAAAAAAAAACCAATACTTGTTTGATCAAGCTTGTCTTTTTAATTAATATATTCACACTTGTTCACATGCTTGGACTAGCCTTTTTTGAATAGTTCTTGGGCGTGGTTGCAAGTCATGAGATGAGTGACGTCTCTCTCCATCGTTATAGTTTTTACAGAAAACTGTAAATCCGGTCAAATCCATAGTTAGAGCCAGTACCTAGTGTGGTCCGGGGTTGACCTGTCAAATTCAGGTGCTTGTCAAATTTATGGATTTAGGTGGATTCTACTCCATTTTTTCCAATCCATAGATTAGAGGGGAAATACGGCTCTCTTATAAAAGGTTTAAGATGCACTATTGCAATAATGACTGTAGTATGCTATAATAATCATCAAAGAAGCACGGACACTTCAAAATGGGCGAAGAATCCGTGTCCGACACATGTTGGACACGGACACGCGTCGGACACGCCCCGACACGTGTTAGACACGCCAAAAAGCGTGTCTGGAATTTTTTTTTTTTTTAATTTTCGGACGCGCCACAGACACTCCGCGGACACTTTTGGAAATTTTTTTTTTTTTTTTTTGAATGCTGATATGTTCTTTTTTTTGTTTTGTACTACCCTTTTGGTATTGTAAATGGTAAAAGTCCTAGGTCAAATGATGGATGGGAATAGATGATAGTACACTGACTTGTTTTTGTATTTTTTTTTGGGACTAGCCTTTAGGTTTTTGTGAATGTTAAGTGCTAACAGTAAAGTCCTGAATGTTAAACAGTCATGAATGTTAATAGTCCTTCTGTCTATGCTTTTGTATTTGTAGTAAAGTTGCAATGATGATTAAATGATACTAGTTATTATTCTAATGTCTTGTTTTTTATTTGGTTTTATAACTCTGCAACATTGTTCTTTTATAGTTTATTAGTTATGAGTTATGATTTGTGTTTTTTTTTTCATTGTGAGGTTGATGAAAAATAGCAACAGTCAGTAATTTTTAAAGTACTACATCTATATATATACTATTCGCTGTGTCCCTGCCGTGTCCATGTCCTAATTTGTTTGGATTTGCCGTGTCGTCGTGTCGGTGTCGTATCGTATCTGTGCCCCGTATCCGTGTCTGTGCTTCTTAGATAATCATTATGTAATGGAGTTTTTTTATTAAATACTGATGCTTTTGTAACTTTACACAAGCAAAGAAGCTTTGTAAAGCATCTCCAATGCAAAATGCTATATTTTCATGCCAAATATATATTTTGAGAGGAGCTACAGTGTCAAAATGCTATATTTTTGCAATTCTGCTCCAATGGTGCATTTTATCCAAAATGCTATTTTTTGACATAACAACCATTCCATGTTTTGAGAGCCCATTGGAGTGCCTTATTTTCATTTTAGTAACTTTTGACAATCTCAAAATATGAGAGGTCTTTTGGGAGAGCACATTGGAGTGCCTATTTTCATCCACTTGCTATATTTTGAGTTTGAGAGGCCATTTGAGAGCTGCTATATTTGAGAATCTCAAAATACGAGAGTCTTTTGAGAGGTCATTGGAGTGCCTTATTTTCATCCACCTGCTTTATTTTGAGTTTGAGAGCCCATTTGAGTGGCCATTGGAGATGCTCGCTTCTTGCTTTGGAAGAAGATTTGCTGGTATGTTGTCAGTTAGTTAAGATCTCTTCTAATGGTCTCACGTGCATCTCTAAAACTTTCTCTTGCTTATCACATCTCCAAATTCCTAACCCTATATATATATATATATATATATATATATTTATATATTTATATAATGCTATTATGTTGTTTCTATCTTTAACTTTTCCCATTTTTTATCATGTTTGTGGCGACATTTTTTGCAGGTAGGATTTCTTCTGAGGCTACAGCAACTGCAGTGATGGGAAGAGGCCTGAAAATGCTGCGAAAACTATTATTGTAAGTTAAATTTCTTTAATACAACCGTTATGTGTGTGTGTGTGTGTGTGTGTGTGTGTATATTATCTCAATGTTCATCTTTTATCCTCTTAAATTCTCATTATGGGTTGTCCTAATAAATAATAAATAAAAAAAAAACTCATTATGGGTTGATTTTGTTGAGTTACTCTTCAGAATTCTTTTATGATGGTTCAAATCATTTTTATGCCATGTACACAGCTTATTGTGGGCTTCTTTTTTCCTCATTGCATCATCCATCCATTGCCAAGTAAGATTTCAGGCATTGAATTTTTTAAAATATTTGAAGAATGATAAAAGAGTTGGAACTTTCAAGTGCATTATCAAATTTACATTTATGCACTAAAGAGTGTTTTCTTTTGGTGAATCCTTGGTCAATATGATATTATTCAATTATTGATACCGCATTATGTAGCCTAAGGACATTAAAATTGGGTCCTTGCGTGTTATCAGCTAAATAAGAGGAGGGAAAGAGGAGATGTTAAAAATGTAAGTCGTTTTGCTCTCTAACAGTTACATCTTGAAGTTTGAGGTTCAATTATTCTTCAAGTGATACATTACCAAGAATTACAATGTTGAATGGAAGCGAGAAGTTGGAAAACCTTCAACCATGGATATGTCTTTCTGGAGAGAGACAAAATACTATTAAATACGTTCAATAGGCATCAACCCTTAGGGAACAAGGACAACTGAAAGTGTTTTGCCTCGTACACCTGAAGGTAATACGAGAATTCCTCTCATTTGTGGTTTTCGGCCACTGGATGATGCCTTGCCTTGTGGCACACCCAGATGGTTATTACTTTAAGGATCATTATCACATAAATCTGTCAGGTCCTTATTGATCGAATAGACGTTGAGTGAATGTATTAGATCAAGCTTCACAATTTGTTTTGAGTTAAAAAAAAAAAAAAAAAAAAAAAAAAAAAAATGCAACTTGGTTTCAATTCTGGTTTGAAGGCATAATATCTTGGTACCATTGCTTAGTCGAAGATCAGTTCTAAGAATGTTACATGGTATACGAGGAGGTGTGATTGTGTTCCAGGGACGGAGTCAGGAAATTGTGTGAGAGGGGGCGATAGTGTAATTTTTAGTAATTTTAGTGGGGGGACGGTTGTATAATTTTATAAGTATATATATCAAAATAAATAAAATAATAGGGTATATTACTAAAAGTAAAAAAATTCAGTGGGGGCAATTGTCCCCACTGACTTGTACATAGATCCTTCGCTGATTGTAACACATACATAATGTTAGTAAAGGCTAATTGCGGCGAATTCATAATCTAAATTAGATTGCGTTGGCATGCTCCACATAGTTGTCATGCCTTTCTCCACCATTTAACTTTATTTTTTTGCTATCCTTAGGTGTTTCTACACTGCTGGTACCAAGCTTGAACCAAGCGTTGAATTGTGGACTGTGCACAGCTAAATGACTGGTAATCTTTAGTACAAGTTATATGAACTTGATTTTCTTGATCTTTTATATGCGAGTCATCTTTCTTACTGGTTCATTTCCCCAGCTTTAGAGGGCATTATTTTGTCTGCTATGTTGTTTGATTCCTTGCGGCATGAGGCCGAAAACGTGAATTTTGAGCAAGGTGCTACCCAATTTAAAGAAGCATAACTTCTTGTTTCTGCTACCTCCGGTAATGTAGTTTGAGTTGGACCTCAAATTCTAAAGATTAAAAAATGGCAGTTCTCTGTTTGTTTTGACATTTCATTTTTTAGGTAAAATATTCTTTTATTTTTTACTTTTTCGGTGTTTGGCAAAGGTTTATGTCGAGGTTGAGGTCGAATCCATTAGGCAGGACATGTAAAATGACTTGCCGAAAATTGATGGATAAGTTATTTTTGTTAGATTTTAATACTTTTTTTTCTTCCTAAATATTTTAGGACAACCAAACACCAAAAAATAAAAAAAATATATATATTTTTTGAAAAATATTTTACATCCAAACAAACAGAGCCTTAATGTAATCTCTTTTTCCTGAAATAACTTAATATGGATCTGAAATGAGTTTTCAAGGACATGCTTTGATCTGCCATGACTTTGAACTTCTTGTGCTTTGCCTAGCTTTGTGCTTAATGAGTATTGATTCAATAAACATAAAAAAGAAACTCCATATCAGATGTAAACTAGACTTTCAGTAGCTTTATATCAGAAAGTGTTTTTGTTTGTGTGTGTGTGTGTGTGTGTGTGAGAGAGAGAGAGAGAGAGAGATTGAATCCAGAAATTAGAGCTGTTATTTCTCCCTTAAATCCCCTTTGCGAGCTCAACACAATCTGTAAATTTCCCAATTATTCACTAATTACTGGCATACAAAAATCAAATAGTTCTGTTCTAGGGTTTGTCATTGTGCAAGTCTTTTCTTTGCTTTCATCTTTTATCTTGTTTTCGTTTGGGGATTTGAACCCTCATTTTTTACTTTGAAAGGCGAGAAAAACCATTGAGCTACGACCTTTGGTCTTAAAATTTTTTTAAAAAAAAACATTGTGCCAAGTTTATTTATAAATTTGTGCGTTTTTGTTCGAAAGAGAAGTCAAATTGAATTTTCAACCAATCGTGCACTCTTAAATTTTATGAATTATTTTATATGTCTCCGTAAAGAAAATGAATGTTTTTAAGATCACGTGAGAAAAAGTTGGGCAATACTAGCTATGCAACATCTGGGATTTATTATTATTATTATTATTATTATTATTATTTTCTTCTCTCTCGAGTTTTTTAATTGAATAATTTTTTTTGGAATTTCTACTTATTTTAAGCTAATATATACTGTGCATATTTTAACATCAGCTTGAAATTTATATGAGATACCAACTACTTGAGACACAAACTAATGTTGAAAAGGGGCCTAAATGTCATGACATAAATAAATTTGTAATGTGTTTTATTTTGAAAGGTTAAGCAACCGACATAAATAAATAATAATTATAGAATGGGGCTTTGGTCAGACAGCCCAGGGACAATAAGAAAGCCCGAAAAGGGCAAACAAGGGACAAGCCCTTACAATTGACAAAGCAAATAACCGCAATTAATGGCTTGATTAACAGCAAGTAACGACTTGATTAATTGTTAATGGTGGTTATTTGTGTAACTTTTTAGTGATGAACCCTAGCCCGTAAGGAGAACGACTAAGCTCAGTCTAGCGGACTCGGTGGTGGACAACATCAAGACAGAGAGAGATCCCAGTCACTTAGAATTCATCGTGAAATTGTGCAATCTTTGCTAAATGTCTTCTCATGTTATTTTGGGTATTTTTTAGTTTTGCAATGGTTATGCAAGGAATTGAAATTGTGGTTAAAAAAGAAATCCTTCAATTGCATGCTGTGATAATTAAAAAAATTAAATTATATGTAATCAATATAATATAAAATCAATTAAAATAAAAATATATCTTGTGGATAAATTATTTATATTAACTTTTTTGTGCTATACATGGTATAAATGTTGCTCGTATGATTTATAAGAAAGCGTCTCTAGCCCAACGTGATACTCTCCAAGCCCGACGAGGTGTTAGTAGTTGTATTAGGGCTTTTTGGGCTTCGGTTGAAAATAATTTATGTTTGTGATAATTGGGCCCACTTATCGTCATTGCTTAAAAAAAACTTTTCTTCTTATCTCAGGGATTGAGGCCTTTTGTGGCCCCAAATAAAACCGTGTGGTATAAAATGTTTTTTGCGTAATATGTTTTTCATTAACAAAATTTTATTTGCAAAATGATTTATTTTTTATTTTTTAGCGTTTGGTTTCAATCCCAAAAATATTTTTTGGGATGTTTTATTTATTATTATTATTTATGCAGTTCACTATTTTAGTATTTTACAAGTGATGTTGATAATTTTTATATTTTGATTCTTATAATCTCATTAATTTATTTTAAAGTAAAAAATTAAAGGTTTAAAGTATCAAATGGGAACTGGGAAGGGTATATAGATTTAACCTTCTTTTTTTTTTTTTTTTCATTTTGTTCTATTACAAGCAACCTTTGATAGAATAAAAATAAATAAATAGAATTATTTTATGTAAAAAAAAAAAGGTGTGATTGGCACAGTTTGATACTTTATTTATCTTCAAAAATTCATGACCCAAAATATAAAATTACACGTATAACATAAGCATATACATCACATTCGGATGCATAAAGTGAAGAGGTGTATGCTTTTTCAAGATGGACCCTACCAACTTCTCTTCTCTCTCTCTCTTCTATAGAGAATCAGATTTCAGAAAGTCATCGCACAGCTATTATGGACGTCAAAGGTAAAGCTATTGCATCGCTTCACTATTCTATTGGGTGATTTTTTTTTACGTACAAATAACATGACATGTCTCGTTCATTAATACTTTTTTCTTAAGTAAAGTTGTCAAAATTATTCGATAAATATCACTATGGTAATCAATACCATCTAATCGGAGTGTCTTACAAAATATGGAATCAACGTTACAATAGTTGTCGTGGGTCCGTGAGATATTCCGGTGTCGTCAAATTTTTTTTTTTCCGGGTGTCGTCAATTTTATTATTATTTTAAATATTTGAAGAATGGCAAGTAAAAGTAAGCCATTTTTGGTGATTTGCTGAAAAATGTTTTAAAATTTGTTTGATTAAAAGAAAGCCATTTTTGTTGAGTTGTTGAAAAATGTTCTATAAGTGAAAGTTAAAAAAATATATTTGTAGAAAATATTTTTACTCAAAATAAATGGAGCATTCATGTTTTAAAGTGCCGGTCAGATTTTTTATCATCGACTTATTTTAAGTCATTGGTCGTTGTTGGCACACTCATTGGTAATCTAGGGCTTCTAGACTACTGTTAGCCCCTTGACGGTTGTCCAAGGGAAGACATGGGCATTTCAAGGTCATGCCATGTCTTAGGAATACTTTGGCTTTGATTAGACAGCCATGAGGGTGCTCAGTGGGTTGTCAGCGTGCACAAGATGCTCAGAGTGCACACAAGATGCTTAAAAGGATGCTCGGCGTGCACTGGGGGTGCCCAGTGGCACTTTCGTAAATATGGCGAAAAGTGAAACTTGGAGTTTTGACTCAGGATCTTTATGGGAGATACCTTGAGTCCATAGAAGCTGGTTGGCGCAGACGGCACTCAATTTGGATGTCGGGAAAGGTCTGAAAGGCCATTATGACTCCTCAAGCATGGGTGATGTTTACTCCTGTCAGAGTGCTGGATTTCCTTAAGACTATATTAGGGGGGGGTCTGTTGAGCGCATCGGTTGGGCTATGGCATGGCTTGCTTAGAGGGCTTAGCCAACGTGCATGGGCACGTATTGCACCACTCCAAGATGGTTGCACAAGTGGGGAGCATCCAAGATATTGAAGGGCAAACAAGTGTGCACCGACACGCGCGCTGGGGTGCAGCGGCGAGCGTGCGGGCGTGCAGGTGGGCGCGCGGGTAGGCGTCCAACCTAGTGTGCGCGAGCATCTAGCTCGGCGTGCACATGGGCGTCTAGGTGGGCGTATAGCCACGGGCGCATGAGGGTACAAACATGGCGCGTGAAGAAGGGCACTAGTGTGTGCGTCGGCGTGCATCCGAGCGTGCGCACGGGCGTGCATGGCTTGGCACGCCGTGCACTCAGAGACATATGTATGTGGGTGCAGATTGGTGGACTTGGGCTAGGTTCACAAGGTTGACTCAGATGTGGCTAGAGCATGGATAACACAAAGTCATGGCTTGCGGTTACAAGAGGTGGTGGCTTAGTGGGCTGGATTGGTTGGGGGAAGTTACTAGCATTTCCCACTCATCATGGGAAGTGGGGGAGTGCTGAGTAACCTCCCAAACATGTGGCACAATTCTGAGAGGACCAACACACAGGCGGTTAAGGGTGGTTTCCTCCACCATGCAGAATCTAACTTCTTGTGGTTATGTGGCATGAGCAGAACATGCCAACAAGTCTAGCAGTTGGGCTTGTCAACTGCATTATAGTGCTGGCTCATTTAGAGTGTGCCAGCACGACCCTAGGTGGATGGGGGTGTCATCCATCATCTTAGTGGGCAGTTATGGGCGGTTTTGAGAGTGGCCTATATAATGCTAAGGTGGGCTTTGTAGAGGGACAGAGAAGAGGGTGTGAGCCTTGGTTGTTCCTTGTACGAACTCATGTTCCTTTGTAATATGTTTAATATGAGCGAAGGTTGGGGCTTGTCCCTGTAAACTGTGTGTGTTTTCTTTATATTTCTATACTGGGTGTATTGTGTTGTTGTGTTGGCTGAGACTTGGTGGCCCCAAGTGCCATCGCAGAGGCAAAAAAATTCGTGGTGTGATTTAGCCCTGTGACAACTACCATTGTCTTTGTTTCCATGTTTGACCTGGGCTTTGTCTTGGCTGTTTGGTAGATGTTGACTGGGCTTTGGCCTTGTTTCACATCAATCCCTCTGTATGTATCTTTTCTTTCAATATATTTTACCTTCCCAAAAAAAAATAAAAAATAAAAGAATAATAATAATAGATATAGATTATTCTGTTCTTGCTGTGTGGTAATGCAGAAAAATATTGATTACCCTATCATGTAGTAATAGGTACCTGGTCAAATATATATTTGATTATTTTTAATTATCATAGAAAATAATAACAATTTTTTTTCTTAATTTAAATAAAAAACAATTAATTATTAGCCTGATATTACATTCTCCGTACTCTGGTCACTAAATACATTTTCTAATCCTCTTCATGTTCATTGGTGAACAAGAGAAGCATTACCTTGTGTGTGTGCATGTATATATATATATATATATATATATATAGAGAGAGAGAGAGAGAGAGAGAGAGAGAGATTAAAAAGTTATTCCTATTACTTTTTAAAGTTTTTTCCATCTTTTGTCCCACCACAAAGTCCAATAAGAAATAGTGACACCCTTTAAAGTGAGGTGATATTTCCTAAGGTGCTTCAAAGAAAATGATATTACTTCCAGAAAAATCCTTTTCAAGTTTGAATTTGTTCATTTAGAATTTGGATTCTTCTACGTCTCCAAAAAAAAATGTTATTAATAAAAAATAGTGTTAATTTAATTTGTGAAAGTGACGACTTTTTAAAAATGAGACTTTCATGGAATGGAGGGAATATAGGGTAATCCAAAATACTAGCTTTACTTGGTCCATCAGTCCACATTAGGGGTGTAACATATAGGACTTTTCTCTTTGATAACATTTGACCACCACTTTAGAAAAGAAAGAACATCTTATCGGGTTGGGGGTCATTTTCTAATTTAAGATTAGATCTGTTTTCCAACAACTTAGTCGATAGAGCCTCTAATTTTTTAAATAATTAAAAAAAACTACCAGACTTTTTCTATGTGCTGGTCTTTGTTAATTTATTTTTACGGTTGATTAATTTTGAACTTAATATGAGAAAGCTGGTCGGTCAATTATTATTATTATTTTTTTGCTCCACTTAATTAAGCCTGCCTATTGTTTGTAGTTTTGTTGTTTTGTGTCGGGTCCATGAACAGCACCATTGTTGTGTGACTGTGTGTGTATGGAATCCAACAAACTTTTCATGATGTTGTCAGAGGTCAGTAATCCAAAGTAGCTTTAATTAATTAATTAATTAATATTTTTTTGTAAAATAAAGTAGCTTTACTTATTTGCACTTTACTTGATCCTTCCTAACCAGAATATTGAACATTAAACAACTGGCTTATCACTTCTTCCTCTGAAGAAGAAACAAACAGCTAGTGTCTCTCTTCAGCTTTCTCTCTCTAAAGGCTCTTCACAGTGTCCTCTGTCTCTCAGTGGAAGAAAAGAAAAGAACATGGCTGAAGGTATAGTGTGTGGAGCACTTCTCTCGGCTTCCTTTCAAGTATTGTTTAGTAAGTTGCTTTCTCGTGAGTTCATAAGCTTCGTTTCCAAACGAAAGTGCGATGATGGACTCATAGACAAGCTCAAGACTAATTTTCTCGCCCTCCAAGCAGTGCTGGATGACGCCGAGGACAAGCAGATCACCAACCAGCATGTGAAAGCTTGGCTTGACGAGCTCCAACATGTCGTCTACCAAGCTGATGACTTGCTGGACGAGATCGCTACGAAAGCCTTGAGGGTCAAATTAGAAGCTGATTACGACCAGTCCCAGTCCCAAAGCAGCACAACTCAGGTTGGTTTCACTCGATTTCTTCGTTTGATCAAGAATTCTCTGTTGCGCATTAATAAATTCGTCGTCTCGAATTCTGTTTATCTCTCTGATGAAGAGATAGAGTCTAGGATGAAAGAAATCATTAGCAAGTTAGAGTATTTTGTTGAGCAAAAAAAAACTCTTCAATTGAGGGAATTTGTTGGAAGGAAACCATCACAGAGACTGCCAACTGCATCTTTGGTATATGAAGATGAGGTCTGTGGTAGGAAGGACGACAGAGAGAAGATAATTAAATTGTTGTTGTCCGGCAACGCAGTTGAAAATGAGATGTGTGTGATCCCCATTGTAGGTATGGGTGGGGTGGGCAAGACAACCCTTGCCCAGTTGGTATACAACGATGCTCGAGTCAATGAGCATTTTCATATGAAATCGTGGGTTTGCGTTTCTGATGCATTTGATATTTCCATGATAACAAAGAAAATTTTGGATGGTGTCACCTCATCAAACAATAACATCAACGACCTCGATGACCTTCAAATCAAGTTGAAAGAGAGCTTGGCAGGGAAGAGATTCCTAATTGTTTTAGACGATGTCTGGAATGACAATTACATTGATTGGGACCTCTTGAGAAGACCTTTCAGAGCTGGAGCACAGGAGAGTAGGATCATTGTGACGACGCGCAATGACAATGTCGCATCAATGATGGGCACAATTACTAGTCATCCCGTGGAGCAATTGCCTATTGAAGATTGTTGGTCATTATTTGCAAAACATGCATTTGTGAATGGAGATTATATGGCTTATCCAGAGCTACAGAGTATTGGCAGAGAAATTGTGAAGAAATGTGGAGGCCTTCCTTTAGCAGTAAAATCACTTGGAGGTCTCTTGCGGTCTAAATTGGAAATTGAGGAATGGAAAAATATATTAAAAAGCGAGATATGGGATTTGGATCAAAACATTCCTCCAGCTCTAAAATTGAGTTATCATTATCTTCCTCCGCATTTAAAGAGATGCTTTGCATACTGCTCGATATTTCCGAAGGATTACAAATTTGAAAAGGAGAAGTTAGTCCAGTTATGGATAGCTTTAGATCTTGTGCAGCAACCCAAAACCAACAAATCAATGGAAGATGAAGGTAATGACTACTTTCGTGAACTATTATCAAGGTCTTTCTTTCAAATATTTAGTCATGACAACGATTCTGATTTTCTAATGCATGACTTGATCCATAACTTAGCTCAAGTTATATCTGGAGAATTTTGTTTTAGGCTAGACAAGCCACTTGATTATATCTGTGAAAAAGTTTGTCATTTCTCATATGTTCGCGGCAACTACGACGCATCTGAGAAATTCAAGGCTGTTAATGAGGTTAAGTGTTTAAGGACATTCATATCATTTTCAAGAGATCAACGGCGTTGTTACTTAGGCAATAAGGTACTACATGATATGTTGCCAATCCTGAGATGCTTAAGGGTTCTATCTCTGTCAAACTATCATATTTCTGAATTGCCTCAATCAATCGAAAATTTGATACATTTACGCTATTTGGATCTCTCTAAGACGAGAATCAAGAAGTTACCTGATTCGGTTACAACCTTGTGCAATTTACAGATATTAGATTTGTCATACTGTGAATGTCTCACTGAGTTGCCTGAGAACATGGGAAAACTAACAAACTTGCGTCATCTTGATATAAAAGGAACTAGATTGACTGAAATGCCAACACAAATGAGCAGGCTGAAAGATCTCCAACATTTAACATATTTTGTAGTTGGCACAAATGTTGAGTCAAGCATAAGTGGGTTGAAGGAACTCTGCCATCTTAGGGGTAACCTCGATATTTTAGGGTTGGAAAATGTAGTAAGTGGTCAAGATGCATCAGAGGCCAATATGAAGGAAAAGAAAAATCTTGAAGGATTAGTGTTGAAATGGGGTGGTGATACAGACGATTCAATAAAGGAAAGAGATGTACTTGACAAGTTACAGCCTCATGAAGGCTTGAAGACTCTCAGCATCTTCAACTATGGGAGCACAAAATTTCCCGAGTGGTTAGAGGGAGCTCATTCACTTCATAACATGGTTTCCTTAGAACTTATAAGCTGTGCAAATTGCTATTCCTTGCCGTCAATTGGTCAGCTACCATCTCTAAAAGATCTAAGAATTAGAGGAATGAAAGCAATAACAAAAGTGGGTGGAGAGTTCTATAGGGATGCTTCTTCTTCGATCAAACCATTTCAATCTTTGGAGACACTAAGCTTTGAAAGAATGCCAGAGTGGAAGGAATGGCATGCACTAGGGGCTGGAGAGTTCTCTCGCCTTTTAAAGCTTCGTATGTTCAATTGTCCTAAGTTGACTGGTGAATTACCTAACCATTTCCCATCTCTAAGGAAACTTGAAATTTTCGGATGCCATGGGCTCGTGTCCAGTCAAATTGGGTTCTTGCTGCAAGGTCTGCCTTATCTTCAAGAATTGAAGATGTCAGATATGACAAACTTGACGAAATTGCCGCAGCAGCTGCAACACCTGTCTTCCCTTCAGGAATTGGTAATCTCAAATATGCCAAACTTGATGGAATTGCCACTGCAGCTGCAACACCTGTCTTCCCTTCAAGAATTGATGGTCTCAAATATGCCAAACCTGAAGAAATTGCCACAGCAGTTGCAATACCTTTCTTCTCTTCGGAAATTGAAGATTTCAAGGATGCCAAACTTGAAGGAGTTGCCTCTGGGATTGTGCAGATTAATAAAACTTGAACGGTTGAATATAGAGAAATGCCGGAGCCTTGTGTCATTTCCGGACGTGGGATTGCTGCCAATGCTTAAAGCTCTGGAGATTGATGAATGTGAAGCTCTGCAGTCCCTAACAATAGCATCAGCAAAGAGAATGAATGTGAATATGATGGACATCAACAATATTTGCCTTGAAGAGTTGCGCATCTCTCACTGTTCATCTCTTCTTCAGTTGTTTTTCCCGAATGGTGGTCTACCTCCTCTTACATTGAAAGAACTTGAGATCAACAACTGTAGAAGTTTAGAGTTTCCCCTGCCGAAGGAGATGAAGCATAATTACCACACATGTTCCATTAAAGTTCTTAAGATAAATGACTGTGATCTTCTCAAATCGTTGTGGTTAGGTTTCTCCCCAAGGCTTCGTTCTCTCAAAATCAGGGGGTGTATAAATTTTGAAAAGCTTTCAATTCCAGACAACGAGCTTCAAAATCTGATGGAGCTTAGAATAGAGAATTGCCCTACAATGGTATCCTTTGCTCATGGAGGACTGCCCGCTCCCAATCTGACCTCTTTTACAATTTCGAATTGCAAGAAATTGAAGTCGCTGCCGCAACGAATGCACACCTTCCTCCCATCTCTTCAATCATTGCGTATACAAAACTGTCCAGAAGTTGAATCATTTCCAGATGGAGGTTTGCCATCCAACTTAACTACACTTTGCATCTTGTATTGTGAGAAACTCATGAAGGGCCGGATGGGGTGGGGTTTGCAAAGCCTCTCATCTCTTCGAAACATCTGGTTTTTAGGTGGTAAATATGAAGAAGAAGCGCTGGAGTCATTTCCCGAGGAGTTGCTATTGCCCACCACTCTTACCTATCTTTGTATCTGTGACCTTCCAAATCTGAAATCACTGAACAACAAGGGCATTCAATGCCTCACCTCTCTTGAAATATTACGCATCCACCATTGTCTTAAGCTCCACTCCTTGCCAGCAGAGGGGCTGCCAAACTCCCTCTCTTACCTGTGGATATCCAAATGTCCATTGCTGAAACTACGTTGCCAAAGGGAAACAGGAGAAGATTGGCCCAAGATTTGTCAAATCCGCCACATAGAGCTTGATGGTGAAGACATTGTAAACTTAGAGTGACACTCATGCAGCAAAACCCACCTAATTCCTTCCACTTAGGTACTTATTCTACACTCTCTACAAAATTGTCACTTTCCTTGCACTTTCGATGCTAGTGGTGTGTGTTTCTTGGAGCACCGAAAATATTGATGACCAAAACACATTATGGCCATGCTTAGATGAATTCTCAGCCATCTCAATGTTGATGGTTACAGAGAAACTTCAATTTCAGTCAACGCCTCCACATTTTGGCGGATACACTCTTAATTAATGTCAATTCTAAAACATACAAGATGATGATTCTAACAAATTTATCATCGGTGGCTACATGTATAATAAATATGGTTTAATTTTTCCATTACGAGTTACAACCAAACAAGACAAAATAATGAAAACCCTTATTAACTTTATTTTCAGATTTTCAATGGCCAAAGAGGTGCTTAACATCCAGTTTTCTTGAAACTTGCACTGTTACCTGAGGGGAATATTGATCTCAGGCAAGTCACATTTTTCAATTAACATCAATAGCTGGATTTTTCAACCTCTCTCAATTTATCTTATATGAGCAACTCAAGCACATGTTGTAGTTCTAGTTTGCATGAGTTATAAAATACTTTTATTTATTTGATACAATTCTTGACATGCCTGCAAATCTTGGTATCTTCCAACAGCACTATAGTTGCCGATGATAGATACAGCACACATATCCATTCTGTTTGAATCTTTAAAGCCAGCAAATCCCTCAATGTTCTATTAGTTACAGACTTGCAGCCTATAATATATGCATCCTGGAAGAGAACCAACATAAGGTTCATGTGTCCAACTAGCCCCATGCACCATGTGCAATGACATCACAGGTCTTGAAATGAGAGATTAGTGCAAGAGATTTATGTTTTAATTTTTTTTATTATGCTATTCAGGGGTTATGGTTATATAATTCATGCTTATACAATTTTAATTTGAGAAAAAATAAGTCTGCCTCTTTAAGGTATTTAGCAATATTGAAGTTTTCATTAGTTACCATCCCTAGAGTGATGTGGTTGTCATTGCTCACAATTGACATTATTGATTGGGCAATTATTCTAGCGTTCCAGTAAAATATTTTTATACAAAAGCTATAGTAAGAGATTACGAATATGTTCGTACTGTCTTTAAATGGTTGATGGCATGAGTTCTCTTACCCTGAATTAGTTATACATCAATGATGCAGGGGTCACTTTTTTGATGCAACTGTCTCATAATTTTTGCAACTAAGATTGTTTATGGGAAAACTACTTACTATTAGTGGTTGGATTATATTAGAGGAGCTGCTTCAATTTTCTTCTGAGGTAGTACCATGTAAATTGATACTCTTCATGGTTTTTCTTTGAATGAGAATTTTTAGTATGCTGCAGCTGAAGGAAAATGTTGGCTTCTCACTTTGTTTCTTTATGTCTATTGATTCTGATATAATATAAAATGATTTAAAAACCATATGTATGGTTTCTTGTTGTGTTGAGCATTACATTTTGTTTCTGGGAGATAAGTTACACCAACTTCCTTTGAGGTTTGTGTTTAATTTCTGATTATTCCGACATATTTTAAAAAGTTGTTTGTCACCCAGAAGAGTTTAGACAATGAATTGGTGTGTGGATGGTTAACTAATTTTTATGTTTCTAAAAAGCATTAAATATATGCTGTTTTTTATTTTTAATTTCATGAAATTTTATTTCTTGACTAACTAAACAAGTATTTGCTAGAGAATGGATCTGTTAAGATCTACCAAAACATAAGATACAACTGCCAGAAACTCAGCAGATAAAAGTACGAATATGTGGCCATTTAGATCATAATATTTTTGCTGCATCATCATTACGAATATTGTTGTAATTAATTCATTATCATTTTGTTCTTTATATATTTTTTGTGTTGATTCATTTATTTTTCCCTATTTGCAGTCACAACTAAAACAACTTGCTGCAAATCACCTCTCTTGAAATGTACTTCATCCACAATTGCCGTAAGCTCCAGTCCTTGCCAGAAGAGGGGTTGCCCAACTCCGTCTCTTACCTGAGTATATGGGGTTGTCCATTGCTGAAACCACGATACCAAAGGGAGAAAGGGGAAGATTGTTGCAAGATTTCCCGAATCCGCCACATATATCCTCATTGTACAGAAATCGTAAACTTAAGAGAGTGAGAAAAATCATTCATGCTCGTATTGGATTCCTCTGGTTTCTATTCTTGCAGGAATCCCTTCCACTCAGGTACTTAAATGTTCTACACATTATACCCATATTATTTTACTTTCTCTATCTATTGATTTTTTGCTCCCCCCTCACTTCCCTTGCACTGTCAACGCCGGTAGTGTGCATTTCTTGGAGCAATGGAAACCTTGCTTGTGACCAAATCAAATCACATTATGACCATGTCCAGATGAAATTCTCAACTTCTGACGCTTGCCAAGAAACTTCAACTCTCACTCAGGTATGTGCGTCCACATTTGGCCGATCCAATCTTAATTAATGTCAATTCTAAAGCATACAAGATGATGATGATTCTAACAAGTTTTTAATAGGCCACGACCTCTATAATAAATCTGGTTTAATTTGATGGACTATTGTAGACTAGTAAGTATTATATTCTTTTGCAGATATAGACTCTTAGGTCTCCGTTTGATTCTAGAAATAATGATGGAAGGCAAAGGGAAATGGAAAAAGAAATTAGAAAAAAAAGATGGAAGGCAAAGGAATGTGGAAAACGAAATCAGAAGTTAAAGAAACATTCCATTGGTAAAAGTTTTTGATTTCTTGACAGGTTCGTAAACATATCCTTATTGCTCTGGTTTTTTTTTTTTTTTTTTTCCTTATCCTTGGCCCAATAAAACTAACATGTATTGTTTTCTTATAAGTTACAAAAGTCCTTTTTAATTTCCTTAATAATTTATTTTCTCACAGTTTTCCATTACAAGTTCGAACCAAACATGACAAAAATAATGAAATACTCTATTAACTTCTCTTTCTTTCATGTTTTTATTTCAGTTTTTTCAATGGATTCTCCAAAGAGCTTCTTGCTTAACATCCGATTTTCTTGAAACTTCCACTGTTACCAGAGGGCAAGTCACATTTTCAAATACAATATTGACCACAAACATCAATAGCAAGATTTATCTACTTCTCTCAATTTCTCTTATATGAACCACTCAGGTACATGTTGGAAATCTAATTTGTATGAATTATTAATTACTTTTATTTATTTGATACAATTCTTGACATGCTTGTAATCATGGTGTCTTTAACCAGAACTATGGTTGCTGATGACGGATACTAGACATATGTCCATTCTGTTTAGGTTTTTGCAGCCTGCAAATCCCCGAGTGTTCTAGTAGTTGCAGTCTATAGTATGTGCATGCTCGAAGAGAACCAATGCAAGACTCATGTGCCTTTGTAGACTGTAAAATAATAGTTAGAACTTAGAAGACCTACTTCAATTTTCTTCTGAGGTAGTACTATGTAAAATGACACTCTTCATGATTTTTCTTTGAATGAGAACTTTTAGTATGCTGCAGCTGAATGAAAATGTTGGCCTCTCACTTTATTTCCCTATCTGGATGGTTTACTGATTCCAACATATGGTTCTAATGTAATATAAAATGATTAAAAAACCATGTATAATTTCTTGTTGCACTGAGCATTAAATTTTGTATCTGGAGATAAGTTACATCATATTCCCTTGAGGTTTCTGTTTAATTTCTGCTTATTCAAACATATTTTAAACAAAGTTTTTTTTAGCCATAAGAGTTTAGGGCCTTGGGCTATGAATTGCTGTGTGGATGGTTTACTATTTCTGTGTATCTTCTAAAAGGCATTTAATCCATGCTTTGTTTTCTAATTTTTCATTTCATAAAATTTTCATTATTGTCTCACTAAACAAGTATTTGCCAGATAATGGATCTCTTAATAACAACAAATACAAAAATAAAAATTTATTTCAGCCAGGAACTTCAGCAGATAAAAGTATGAACATGTGGCCATTTAAATCATAATATTTTGCTGCATCATCATTATGAATATTGTTGCAATTAGTTCATTATCTTCTTTGCTTCATATATTTTTTTGGCTTGCTTCATTTTTTTTTTACTATTTGCAGTCACAACTAAAACAGCTTGCTGCAAATTAATCTGAAGAGGCCTCTAACTCGGATGGTGGTACATCTTCGTAGTGGGAGTCAGGAAGTTTTGTCATCTGATGAGTGGTCATTTTTGTTTAGTAACAATCCCTGTGAAGGCAACCATCCTCTAACTTGGATGGTGGTACATCCTCTCGTGATTTGTAGTACTCCCAAGTAATGAGAGAAGAAAAAAGGGGCCGTGTTCGTTTGTATGGGTTAGGTCCTACACTTATTGACACTTGGGGATCATCTCCTACTCGGCTGGAGCTTTTGAGGAGGGCGACATAGTCTGAGAATGAGGTAAAGGTTGTACTTGCAGAATTTCAAGAGACTATCTAATTTGAAGGCGAAGTATGATGAAAACCTTGAAAGTCTAAAACAACAAATGGCCATGTTATTGCGTCATCATAGGCAGACTCAGAATTTCTAGTGGACCGGTATAGTCCTTAAAATCCTCGTGTTCCTAATACATGTAAAGTAACCATATTTTCTTTATAATTATTTATTTATAAGAAAATTTTATGGTTATAGGTTTTGGACTATTCCGCCACTCTAGGAGACTCCCCACATTTTGGTTCTAGTGATGACACTCAACCTTTGGTGAGCACCCTAAAAAGTCGTTTTCACATGTTGGTGCCTTATATATATTTTTTATGATTTCTTATTATGTTCTATTGAAATACAGGACCAGTCAAGGCAGTAAAGCAGGAATACAACAGATAAGGACTTTCACTTATGTTCATGTGCGGGTTTATACCAAACAATCCTGATAAAGATTATTTGGGAACCTACTGGTTGAACATTTTCTGTAGATTCTATGTGGAGTGAAATCAGACCTAGAGGGAATTTGGTGGAATGGCCTGAAGTTTTGTGAAAGGGAATGTTCCTAGGCATTCCCTCATCCCATGAAAGGGAATTTGGTTGACTTTCCACTCGGGACAGATTGATGCAATTTGGCTTACTTGAAAGGAGTTGTGTGTTTTGCAGGCTTAACATTGAAGATCATAATCATATTTTCTTCAACTGCTCCTTTTCGTCCGAAATCCGGACTTTTAGGTAATATTCAATGGCTCTCGGACAGCCTTCAGGGTATGCTTAAATTCATTTTGGGAGCTACAGTCTATGTAATCTGGAGAGAGGAATGAGAGGATGATTTCCAACTCTTACAGGGATGTAGGCTCTGTTCAGAAGGAAATCTCGGAGTTGGCAAGGTTCAATATTAGTCTTTGTGAAACATTTCTTCTTCTGATGAGGACAAGTGGTTACAAAGGGAATGGGACATCCCAGCTTCAGTGTTCAAGGTTTAGTTCAATGCTGCTGATTGCCTTTAAGTTCCCGTTGCCACTGCTTTTGTCTCCTGTTTTTTTGTGGATGGTGGTCTCTTTCTAGTACATGCTTGTTACCTTCATGGGTTTGAGCCAGGCGTATTCAGACGGTATATTTGCTATGAATAGTGCCCTTTGGTTGATAGGTTAGAATTGGATGGGTTTGTACAGAGTCAGTGAGTATTTTTGTTGACGATGATGGTGGTGTCGGGCCTCTTAGAACACCTCATAATCCACCATAAGACACATGCAATCCCCCGTCCCACATGGGGCAATTACTGGAAAATTTGGTTTCATCCGTGATGCTCCATGGATCGAACTTGTTGATTGTGTTGTTGATGGGACTTGGAACCTTGTTATTTCTTGCGTTCTTTTGACTAGGCTTATACTAGCCCATTTGTGCTCTTGCTTTTTGCTGATGTACTGGTGGGCTTGGGGTTATTGGGATTTATTTATTTATTGTATAGGTTGGTTCTTTAGTATAACCTGTATGAACTTTATTTTTTATTTTGAAAAGCCCAATGACATATGCCATTTGTATTTACTGTACAGGTTATTTTTGCCGCTTTGGACCATCATTATTTATCAACTCTGTTTTTAGATTCTTTGCTGCATGAGGCAGAAAACATGACTGTTGAGCATGGTGTTGCCTAGTTTGAAGAAGCACACGACTTATCCTTTCTGCCACTTCATGTATTAATGTTTGAGTTGGTTGTTGAACAAGTTGATTGTTTGGATAAAGTTTGAATTGATTAAATTGAAAAATAACAGTTACTTCAAGTTTGTTCAGTGCATGGAATTGATGCTTTGAAATTAAAATAGGAAAAAATAATAATTTTTAAATAAGCCAAATGGAACCGTGATAATGTTTTGACGACATGCTTTGAGCTATCATGGCTTTGAACTTCTTGAGTATTTTTACATGTAAAATTAATGTAAATATATAATTCATCTTATTTCTTAGTGTTTGGAAATATAGGAAGTGTTTTATGTGAAAATATTAAAATATTACCTTGCTCTTGCGACTGCTACGTTATCCAAGTGATTGGGTTGTTCTTTGCGTTCGAGAGTCTGTATCCTAACCTTGCCTTCAAATCATAGAGTTATTGGATGGAGAGGTGTTTTCATTGAAAGAGGGTTAAAAATCCAATCAAGATTTACAAAGCTTATATCATCAATTAGCAATACGGAATTTCATTATCACCAATTATGACAAATGACAAATAAAGTAAAGAAGCCTACTTCTTCAGGACCAAAATTCTCTCTTACGAAATAGTATTTTGTCAAAAATATTGTAATGTTCACTCTCACGTCACAATATTTTTATAATCTACATTACTAATTGGAAAGGACATGACTATTGTTTTGCAAGACGGGAGAAGGGAGGACCGAACAACTCTTTTTTTTATTTTTTTATTTATTTTTATTTGTTAAGGTAAATGTAACAAGGGTCATTTGTCTCACATCGAATCCGGATGGGAAAATAATTGGGTATAAATGAGTAGGTATGCAGTCTTACCCAACAACTTGAACTTTTGGGTAAATGGACAAATGCTCACCCGTTATAGTTGATATCAGAGTCAGACCTAATCCTTGATTTGGTGTCATGTTAAGCGCCCGACCAGGGGTGTCTGAGTTTCCAGCCAGGGTAGACAGGTTGGCCTGAGCCGCAACCTGAGTTTGGGAGATCCAGATGGGAAAGTGATTGGGGTGTAAATGGGTGGGTATATAGCACTACCCATTGAGTTTTTGGGTAAATGGGCAAGCGCCCACATGTTATAATAAATATGAAATATACGGAGTATTAAGTATAGGAAATCCGGGCCCAAAAGAAATAGCCCAAAAATGAGTCTACTGTCTACACACAAAACACAGGCCCAACCCAAGGTTAGAGCAATACAATGCAAAAACCCAGTCCAACCCAATTCAAGCTTCCAGAGCGGGAGGAGCCCAATTCGGAGCCCAAACGTGAAAACAAAATTTAAATAATGTGAGAGCGACCAATTCATTCCATGACTCTCGTGAAATACACAGCAAGTTAAACCGGTCGTCCGAAGGGTTATACCGGCCGGTGCAGAAAACATGGCAAAGCAGAGCTTCGCAACACAATCAATCATGAGGACGCGTCAGAGGCCTCAGAACACAAGAGGGAAGGTCCCATTCGCTGATGAATTGTCTAGCAACTGGAGAGTCTGTGAACGAACAAGACATCAGCTTCAACCTCTTCACCTCACTGTGTCCAGAAATCGATTAAGAACGGCATTGGCTGATCAGTGTTTCTTCTTGAAAACTCTTTGATTACATTCCCTCCAATTTTGATAAACAAGAGCAGAGAAGGCGGCAAGGCGCGAAGTAGAAGCTCTGTAATTTGAAGCTTTTCCTTTCCAGGGACGAGCTAGGAAGAATAGGAAAGCCACAACGTGTTTGTCAAAATGCCCACATGGGGTTCAGTGTATGAGCACCGAAAGAAGAGTTGATTCTGTGATTCTGGGACTGAGTTACATAAAGGGCAGATGTATGGTGAGTTCAAGAATGATGTTAATGAGAGAGAGAGTCATCATCGCAGCAGAGGTGTTAGATATCAAAGATTCAAAGGTATGCTATCGATTCACTCTTCTTTTCCCTATTGGATTGATTTTGAGACTTGAGAGTCGATAGTCAATATAATATGAGGTTCGAAAAATGACAGAAATTTGAAAGGTTAGTCATTTTTATTGATTTGCTGAAAAATGTTTTACCAGTAAAATATTTCTAGTCGTGACCAAACATAAAAATATCTTTCAAGAAATATTTTTAGGTCAAAACAAAAAGACCTTTAATGTAAATATTAGTTTGCTCATTATGTAATTTTCTTCATAATGTCTGCTTAATAAATTAAAATAAATAAAAGAACAGTGATGGAGGGATATTGAAAATGCAAACGTTTCATTATGTCACCACAGTGAGTGATGAGGCAAGTAATGTTAACAATCAAATAAATGTTTATTTTTTGAAAAATAATTAATTTTTTCCTTTTTTTTTTTTTTAAATAACAAAAGCTTCATCTTAAATTATGTTTCCGGTTACAAGAATACTAAAGAAATACTAGTTCTCTCCAATATTATTTTTTTTCTTTGAAAAATGTGAGTCACATTAACATTCTTTGAAAGACACCAAAGACAGTACGTAATCAATGGGGGCTAACACCAATAAAGTTGCATTGGCTTATTTTAAGTCATTGGTCTTTGGCATATTTGGTGATGAAAGTCTCCGATGCGCGTCAAAGGGGTTGAATTGTTAGGCATTTGGACCATTTGGTTCTTTCTTTGTCTAAACAAGTCTTCTACTTCGCAGCTACTTTCTCTCTCTAGCTCTTCTTCACAGCTTCTTTTTCTCTCTAGCTACTCAGAAGAAAAGAAGATGGCTGAAGCATTGGTGGGTGGAGCATTTCTCTCGGCTTCCCTTCAAGTGCTGTTTGATCGGGTGGCTACTCGTGAGTTCAGAAGCTTCTTTACCAAACGAAAGTTCGATGATGAGCTCGTAAACAAGTTGAAGACAATCTTGCTGGCCCTTCAAGCAGTGCAAGATGATGCGGAGGACAAGCAGATTACCAACAAGCATGTGAAAGCTTGGCTCGACGAGCTCCAACATGTTATCTGCCAAGCTGAGGACTTGCTGGATGAGATTGCTACCAAAGCCTTGAGGGACAAGTTGGAAGCTGATCATGATCAGTCTCAATCACAAAGCAGCACAACTCAGGTTGGTTTCAATCGATTTTTCCATCCCGTTAAGCAATCTCTAATACGCATTAATCATTCAACTAAAGCTTATGTGTATGAAGAATCCATAGAGTCTAGGATCAAAGGGATGATGAGTAAGTTGGAATGGTTTGTCGAGCAAAAAAATTCTCTTAATTTGAGAGAGAATGTTGGAAGAAAACAATTTCAAAGACAAGAAACAACTTCTCTAGTAGACGAATCTGACGTCTATGGGAGGAGGAACGACATAGAGAAGATATTTGAATTGTTGTTGTCTGGTAATGCAACGGATAATGAGATCGGTGTGATCCCCATTGTCGGTATGGGAGGGATTGGCAAGACAACCCTTGCCCAATTTGTATACAATAATGCTAGAGTAAATGAGAGTTTTCATGTAAAATCATGGGTTTGCGTTTCTGAAGCATTTGATATTTGCATGATAACAAAGAAAATTTTGGATGATGTCACCGCATCAAACAATAACATCAACAGCCTTGATCAACTTCAAATCAAGTTGAAAGAGAGCCTCGCAGGGAAGAAATTTCTAATTGTTTTAGATGATGTCTGGAATGATGACTACATTGATTGGGACCTCTTAAGAAGACCTTTCAGAACTGGAGCGCTCGAAAGTAGGATTATTGTAACGACACGCATTGACAAAGTTGCAACAGTACTAGGCACTGCTCCTAGTCATCACTTAAAGCAATTGTCGTTTGATGATAGTTGGTCATTATTTGCAAAGCATGCATTTGGGAGTGGAGATTGTGTGGCTCATTCAGACCTAAAGAAGATTGGTGAACAAATTGTTGAGAAATGTAAAGGCTTGCCTTTAGCGATTAAATCACTTGGAGGTCTCTTGCGGTCGAAACTGGAACCAGAGGAATGGGACAATATATTAAAAAGCGAGATATGGGATTTGCAGGAGAGCAAGATTCTTCCAGCTTTAAAGTTGAGCTATCATTATCTTCCTTCGCATTTAAAGAGGTGCTTTGCATATTGTTCCATATTTCCTAAAGATTACAAATTTAAAAAGGAAAAGCTAGTCCAATTATGGATAGCCTTAGATCTCGTGCAGCAACCCAAAAATAATATGTTATGGGAAGATGCAGGTAATTACTACTTCTGTGAACTATTGGCAAGGTCTTTCTTTAAGAGATCAAGTCATTCTTATTTTCTAATGCATGACCTGATCCATGACTTAGCTCAAGATATATCTGGAGAGTTTTGTTTGATGTTGGAAGATGGCAAACCCCTTAATCATATTTGTGAAAAACTTCGCCATTTCTCATATGTTAAGGGCACATATGACGCACTTGAGAAATTCAAGGCTGTAATTGAGGTCAAGTATTTACGGACATTCATATCATTTTTTGGTGGATGGGGTCCTTTCTTAAGCCATAAGGTACTGCATGCCTTGTTGCCAAGCTTGAGATTCTTAAGGGTGCTATCTCTGTCTAAATATCAGATTTCTGAATTGCCTCAATCGATCGGAAATTTGATACACTTGCGTTATTTGGATCTCTCTGCGACAAATATCAAACGGTTACCTGATTCAATAACAAACTTGTGCAATTTACAGACATTAGATTTGTCATATTGTGTGGATCTTATTGAGTTGCCTTTGAATATGGGAAACCTAATAAACTTGCGCCATCTTGACATCAGAGAAACGAGATTGACTAAAATACCAATGCAAATGAGTAGACTGAAAGATCTACAGCATTTGACATATTTTGTAGTTGGCAGGAACAATGGGTCAAGGATTAGTGGGTTGAAGGAAATCCATCACCTTCGGGGGCAACTCCGCATTTCAGGGCTTCAAAATGTAACCAGTGGTCTGGATGCATCAGAGGCCAATCTGAAGCATAAGAAGCATCTTGAAGGGTTAGTGCTGGAATGGAATGGTGATACTAGTGATACACAAAAGGAAAGAGATATACTTGACAAACTACAGCCTCATGCAGGACTGAAGTATCTCAGCATCTTTAATTATGGAAGCACAAGATTTCCCGATTGGTTAGGGGCACCTTATTTGTTTCATAACATGGTGTCCTTAAGTCTTAAAAGGTGTGCAAATTGCTGTTCCTTGCCGCAGATTGGGCAGCTACCTTCTCTAAAATATCTAGGAATTGAAGGGATGAAAGCAATAACGGAGGTGGGTTGGGAGTTCTATGGGAATACTTCTTCTTCTCCGATCAAACCATTTCAATCCTTGGAGAGATTAAGCTTTAAGGAAATGGAAGAATGGAAAGAATGGCATGCATTAGGGGCTGGAGAGTTCTCTTGCCTTTTAGAGCTTTCTATGGTTGATTGTCCTAAGTTAACCGGTGAATTATCCATCCGCTTCCCATCTCTAAGGAAACTTGAAATTTCCAGATGCCAACAGCTGATGTCAAATCAAGTTGGGTTGTTGCTGCAAGACGTGCCTTCTCTTCGGGAAATGGAGATCTCAGCTATTCCAGAATTGACTGAATTGCCGCCACAACTACAACACCTGTTTTCTCTTCAGGAATTGACAGTCTCACAGTGTCCAAACTTAAGGGAGTTGCCAACGGAGCTACAACACCTGTCTTCTCTTCAGAAACTGACGATCTCAGATATTCCAAACTTGACCGAATTGCCATCGCATCTGCAACACTTGTCTTCTCTTCAGAAATTGGAGATTTCAGGGATGCCAAACTTGAAGGAATTGCCGTTGGAATTGTGCAGACTAATAAATCTTGAACTGTTAACAATAGAGGAATGCCCGAGCCTTGTCTCATTTCCAGATGTGGGTTTGCCTCCGATGCTCAAGGCTTTGGAGATCAAAGGATGTGCAGCTCTACAGTCCCTAACAGTAGCATCAACGGAAGGAATGGATTTAATGCACATCAACAATATTTGCCTTGAAGAGCTGCGCATCTCTGAATGTACATCTCTTCTTGAGGTGTCTTTCCCCATTGTGGTCTACCTCCTCCTACCTTGGAAACACTTGAGATCTCCAACTGTAGGAGTTTAGAGTTTCCCCTGTCAGAGGAGAAGATGGAGCATAATTACCACACATGTTCCATTGAAGTTTTGAAGATAGATAATAGCTGCGATCTTCTCAAAACGTTGTCTTTAGGTTTCTTCCCAAAGCTTCTTTCTCTCCTCATCTCGGGGTGTATAAATTTTAGGACGCTTTCAATTCCAAACTACAAGCTTCAAAATCTGTTAGAGCTTCAAATAGAGGATTGCCCTGAAATGGTATCCTTTGCGCATGGAAATGGAGGATTGTCCGCTCCCAATATGACCTCCTTTAGTGTCTATCACTGCAAGAATCTGAAGTCACTACCATTACAAATGTACACCCTCCTCCCATCTCTTCAATCATTGATCATAGTTAACTGTCCAGAAGTAGAATCATTTCCATATGGAGGTTTGCCATCCAACTTAAGTAGACTTGTGATCCATAATTGCAAGAAACTGATGAAGGGCCGAATGGGGTGGGGTTTCCAGACACTCCCATCTCTTGGAGAATTTTATATCAGTGGTGCATATGAAGAAGAAGAAGTGTTGGAGTCATTTCCGGAGGAGTGGCTGTTGCCCAGCACTCTTACCTATCTTGTGATTCAATGCCTTCCAAATTTGAAATCACTGAACCACAAGGGCCTTCAACACCTCTCCTCTCTTGCACATCTCTACATACGGAACTGCCCTAAGCTCCTGTCATTGCCAGAAGAGGGGCTGCCCAACTCCCTCTCTCGCCTGACTGTATGGAACTGTCCATTGTTGAAACCACGTTGCCGAAGTGAGAAAGGGGAAGATTGGCCCAACATTTCCCGAATCCGCCACATAAGGATCGATGGTGAAGACATCATAAACTTGGAGTGACAGACACTGATGCTCGCATTGGATTCCTCTGTTTGTTTTCTATTTGTGCATGAAAACCCCCCTAATTCATTCCCACTCAGGTACTAAAGTTCTACATGCTCTACAACATAAGCCAAGTTGTTGCTACTTTCTTTTATCTATTATTATTTTTCTCAAAACAGATCCACTTTACTTGCAGTGTCAATGCCAGTGGTGTGTGCTTCTTGGAACACTGGAAAGACTGCATGATTAACCAAATCACATTAGGACCATTCCCAGATGAACTTGACGTTGATAGTTGCAGAGAAACTTCAATTGTCAATCAGGTATGTGCTTCCATATTTGACAGATGCTGTCTTATTTAATGTCAATTCTCAGTCAGGTAATTTTTTATTTTTTATTTTTCAGAGTTATATTAATGTCCATTCTTGGTCAAGCCACATATTCAAATACAATATTTGATCACAAACATCAATAGCAAGATTGTGAACTTCTCTTGGTTTCTCTTACGTGAGCCACTTGGGCAAATGTTGGAATTCTAGTTTGTATGAGTTATTAATTATTTTTATTTATTTGATACAATTCTTGGTAAATCTTAATTGGTATCTTCCACCTGCACTATGGTTGCTGATCATAGATACAGGTCACATATCCTCTCTGTTTGGGTTTATGAAGCCAGAAAATCCCTCAATGGTCTATTAGTTGCAGTCTATAGTATGTGCATGCTGGAATAGAACCAATACAAGATTCATGAGTCTGTAGTATGTGCATGCTGGAAGAGAACCAATACAAGATTCATGTGCCTTTGTAGCATCTTTGGAGACTACAATATGCCCAACTATCCCCATATTCAAATTGCATCACAAGCCTTGAAATGAGAGATTAATGCAATAAATTTAGGTTCTAATTTTTTTTTTTTTTTAATTATGCTATTCTATTCAGGGATTATGGTTTTTTCATTCATTCTTTTAAAATTTCAAGTTGAGAAAATATAAGTTTTCTGTTTGAAGACATTTAGCAATATTGAAGTCTGCGTTAGTTACCATCCTTGCAGGGAAATGGGTATCGTTGCTCACAGTTGACGTTATTGAGTGGGCAATTATCCTTATGCTGCGTTTGGTGTGCATGAATGTGTAATGTTTCCAATTTTTACCATTTTCCATTTTCCGGAATTTTATGATTTTTTTTTAGGGTATTTCCGTCTTTTCTTGTTTTGCATGTCGGACACCGTGGGGTGTGCCGGGAGTGTCCGAGAGTTGGTTGGGGCATTTCCTTGAGTTTAAGACTCTTGAAAATGCAATGGTTGCCATTTCGGCACTTCTCTGTTTTTCGGGCCGGAAGGTCCCGGGTGGGACCCGCTACTGGAATTGTTATACACGGGGATCGTGTCACGGGCTCATTGCATATCATGTATAATTATTTTATGCATAATATTATGTTGTGTGTTAAATTATGTGGGTGTAGTATAATCGGAGCATGTGTATATATTTGTAGTGGAAAAGAAATTAAAAAGGTTAGATTTTTAGTGGTGGGATCCACCACTAACTCCTTTAGTGGCCAAGAGACCAATTCATGGTCTCATTTTCTCTCCATTCCCGGCAGCTCTCTCTCCCTCTTGTATTTCTTTTTCTTTTTCTTTTCTTTTTCTTCACATCTTCAAATTTAGATTGTGATCAAACCATTAGGAGTTTGATAGTGCCGTTTGCGGCAAATCGGAGAGCTCGTCGAGATCTACGCTCGAGTATAAGCAATTCATCATTTGGCCAACTCTAGGGATTTCGAATTTTTGGACCCATTTGGGGGTTTTTGCATCTAAGTGAGGTAAGGGTCTCTAATCCATGCATTCTTGTACCTTTGTGAGTTAATTCTATGTGATTTGTTGTCAATCATGCTCAATTTGTGTGATTACCTTTAAAGTGATCTAATTGAGTAATTGTTGTGTATGAAGCTTATGACTATGTGTGCTACTTGATTTATATGAAAAGCATGCTTGAGTATTAAGTTTCTATGCTTATTGTGTTTAATAGTTTGTTGAAATTTGCTATATGGATGCGCGTTGATATTGTGAATTATAAAATTCCCTATTGACATAACATTGGAAAGCATGAGACATTCATGCATATCATTGGGTAAGAAATGGGAAAAAATTTGCTTTGAAATGAAATAAAGGGGTTTTTGGGAAATTTTTTTGATAAACGGTATTGCGAAAACCCGGACGCCGAGGGGTTACCAAGGGTCCGTGGCGTTAATGTGACCTAGAGGGAACTAGGGGAAACACCCTGGCATGGTTGAGTTATCTGGCCGAATGATGCCACGGGAGTACCATGGGTCAGGGACAGTAGCCAATCCTTTTCTTGTGTCGCCATGGGGTCATTATGGGACGGGTTGTGTTAACGGTTTGAAAAGTGATAAAGGAATGTATTTTAAAGTGGGGAGCGACATAGCATGTTATTGCTTTTCATGGCACGACATTGTTATTTATGACCTAGAGATTGTATGGTATTCTCCTCAGCATAGCATGATCCCATTCTCCCTATCTCTATACATTGTTTGGATTCACGGGGTCACAAGAGGAGTGTCTTAGACACTACCTACTGAGCAATTTTGCTCACCCCTTTATTATTAATATTTTTCAGGTTATGGGAAGGAAATGACGGATGACAATCCACCACAAGTTTGAAGGGGGCTAGAAGTTCATTTTTGCTATCTTTGGTATTTTGAGGTCATCATTTTCTGTAAAGCAATATCTTGAAAATGTATTAAGTTTGCTTACCATGGCTTTGTAATGTAACCATAAACCTTGATACTATTTTGATGTATATTAGGCCAATGTAAAAACCATATTGACATCTTTTATTGAATGGAAGAATGATGTTGTATTTGTAACAAATCGTTGACGATTGTAACCATGGAATGTTGTATATCATGTTTAAGTGAATTGCAACAGGTTTAGTGCAGTTTGCAAGACTTTTCTATAGACCATTACTCATTCTCAAGTCCACAGCATTCCAATAGCAGGAAACCAGTTCGCAGAGTCATTTCGACCGACCGAAATGCTTGTTTCGGCCGACCGGTTCTTCCAGTAGCTTCAGCCACTGTAGGGATCACAACCGGTCGACCGGTTGGCCACTTCGGCCAACCGGTTCAGGTGGGCTCACTTCGGCCGACCGAAGCTCTATTTCGGTCGACCGAACTGTGCTGTCTTGTTTTATTTTGTTTCTCCCCCTGGCAGAATCCACCGAGTATCTTGGGAAGTTGCATAGAGCCTTCATGAAGCTTGTATAAGACGTAAGAATGATGTTTTGACACTAGACATGTCGGGATTGACTTAGGTGTCCTCGGGTTTGGGTAAGGACCCGGTTAATGGTTCAGATCCACGGGTCCGAGTCGTTACAGAATGGAATGGAATATAATTGGGAATGGAATGAGAATGGGAATGGAATGACCATTCTCATTCTATTGTTTGGTTATAAATATGAAATGTGTAGGAATGGAACGATAATAACCATTCTAGTGTTTAGTTGGACCAATTTAAAATTTAGAATGGAATAATCTTCAAATTAAGTTCTCCAAAATATCCCTCCTAGTAACAAATAAATTAAATTAACAAAATGACATTCTTTTATAATTTTTTAAAAATAAATGGTGGCAGTGGCAGTGGTGGATAGTGGTGACGATGGTGGTGGAGGTGGAAAGAGGTAGTGGTGTAGGTGGTGGTATTGAAAGGCGGCGGCGGTGGTGGCAATGGTGGAATGCGGCAGCTGCGGTGTTGGTGGAAGGCGGCAGTGGTGCTGGTGGAAGACGGTGGCAGTAGTGTGGTGGTGGTGGCAGGCAGGGGAGTTGGTTGCAGTTGTGGTGGTGGAAGAAGGTGGCGGCGGTGGTGGTGGAAAGTGTTAGCGGTGGTGATGGTGGAAGAAGGTGGCGGCGGTTGGAATCGACATTCCATTCCATTCATGCACACCAAACATAGCATTAGTGTTTCATTAAATTGTAATTATCAAATATTTTTATACGAAAAGCTATAATAAGAAATCAAGAATATGCTCGTACTATGTTTAGATGGTTGATGGCATGAGTTCTCCACCCTTAGTTAGTTATCTATTCGTGATGCAAATGCCACTTTTTTTTTTTAGTCTACCATGATAGTGAGAATCTGAGCAACCTAATTGTAATCGTCTCTGTTGAAATATATAAATATTTCTATATAATTGTGGAGCAAAATCCTCCACCAATCATGGTGATCCGATCAATTTCCTTCCAATTATAAATATTTCTATATAACGGTGGAGCAAAATACTCCACCAATCACGGTGCCTCCTTTGACTAATGTACACCTTCCATATATTCTTATCTTTACCATGCCTATATATAGGCTCTTTGTACTTGAGCAATATACATCTAAATAATAAAAATGTAGTCCTTAGTGGCTCTTTATCCATGGATGTAGGCTTTAGTGCCGAACCATGTATATGCCTGTGTTCTCCATATTTCTCTCTTCCTTTTTCCTATTTGCATTTCTTATTCTCTTCTCTTTTCCTATTTGCATTTCTTATTTCCGCATCCAAAATTTAACATGGTATCAGAGCCTAGATGCTCTTGTAATCTCATCTAGAATTTGAGGGGGAGTATTGGTATTATTATTATAGAGCATATTCTCCATGTCTTCACATTCCTTTCCCTTCCAGTCCGTTTTTCTAATGGTTCAGCACCGCATTCCCTGATGTTGTTCTAGCCCATTTCCCAGCGTTGTTCCAGCCATTTCCCAGCTTTGTTTCAGCCATTTCCCGGCATTGTTTCGGCTTTTCGCAACGTTGTTCTGGCTCTTCCCGGAGTAATTCTGGCCATTTTTCCAGCATAGTCCAGCCATTTTCCCGGCTTAGTTCCGGCCTTTTCCTGGCAAGATCTGGTCATTTCCCCCAGCAAGATCTTGTCAATTTCCTGACTTTGTTCCGGACACCTCATCATCTTTCAAGGCGTTTCTTTAGCAAGTTGGGCATTCATGATATTCACGCTCCAACTTAAGCGGGAGTGTTGAAATATATAAATATTTCTATATAATTGTGGAGCAAAATCCTCCACCAACCATGGTGATCGGTCAATTTCCTTCCAATCATAAATATTTCTATATAAGCAAAATCATCCACCAATCACGGTGCCTCCTTTGACTATTGCACACCTTTCATATATTCTTATCTTTACCATGCCTACATATAGGCTCTTTGTACTTGAGCAATATACATCTGAATAATAAAAATGTAGTCCTTAGTAGCTCTTTGTCCATGGATGTAGGCCTTAGTGCCAAACTATGTATATGCATGTATTCTCCATATTTCTCTCTTCCCTTTTCCTATTTGCATTTCTTATTTCCGCATCCAAAATTTAACAGTCTCATGTGTATTAGCAACTAAGATTGCTTTTTGAGAAAATTGCTTCCGCTTAGTGGTTAGGTTATGTTAAAGAACCCACTTCAATTTTCTTCTCAGGTATTCCATGTAAAATGATACTCTTCATGCTTTTTCTTTGAATGAGAAATTTTAGTATGCTGCAGTTGAATGAAAATGTTGGCTTCTCACTTTGTGTCTCTATGTATGATGGTTTATTGATTCTGATATGTGGTTCTGACACAAAATAAAGTGACTCAAAAACCATTTTCTTCTTGTGCTGAGCATTAAATTTTGTTTCTGGGAGATATGTTGCACCAAATTCCCTTGAGACTTCTGTTTAATTTCTGATTATTCAACATATTTTAAACCAAGTTTTGTTAGCCAGCCAGAAGAGTTTTAGTCTATGAATTGCTGTGTGGATGGTTAACTATTTTTATGTATTGTCTAAAAGGCACTTAATCTATGCTCTGTTTTTTTATTATTATTATTTTTTATTTTATTTTATATTTTTTTAATTCTTGGCTAACTAAACAAGTATTTACTCGAGAATGGATCTACTGAGAACAACAAAACAGAACATAAAACAGCCAGAAACTTCAGCAGATAAAAGTACAAATATGTGGCCATTTAAGTCGTAATATTTTTGCTGCATCATCATTATGAATATTTTTGTAATTAATTTATTATCTTTCACGTCATATATGTTTGTATGGCTTCAATTTATTTTTTCCATCATTGTAGTTACAACTAAAACAAGGCGTAGTATGATGAAGAACTTGAGAGTCTAAAACAACAAATGGCCATATTATTGCATCATCATATGCAGACTCAAATTCTAGTGCGGTACAGTTATTAACAACCTTGTGTTCTTATACATGTAACCATATTTTTTATTTTTTAAAAAATGTAATTTTAAAAATTCATATATTTATTCTAGATTCTTCAAAAGAGATTGTTTAATTTTTCATACATGAAATGCTTACTTTAAAGAATTATAAAATAATAAACATCTTAACTAGTAAAAATAAAACTAAAAGTATTTATATATTTTGTTTGTAAATTTATATGTATCTATCCAATGTACAAACATCTAATATTTTTAGACTTAAATAAGAAAACAAAAATGAGCAATATAGTAATAATATGTTTTTTTTTTTGTTTTTTTTTTTTTTTTTTTTACAATGTAGGTTTATTATTTTATTTTTTTCTTGGTAGATATTCACACACACATGCCTCCATCGAGGCTCGAACCCATAACCTCCCTTTGGGAAGTAGGAATCTAGTACCGCTAAAAAAAAATAAAGTGCTAAAAATATTTGTTGGAAAACATTATTAGGTCAAAATAAACAGAGCCTTAATGTATTAGATATTTGTTTATTCCTTATGTAAATTTCTTTTGTGTTATTTATTTTTCCTTCATGTATTAATTTCTCACAGTTTTCCACTACAAGTTACAACAAAAGAAGACAAAAATAATGAAATACTCTACAACATCTTTTTCTTTTCTTTTTTATTTCAGATTTTCAATGGATTCTCCAAAGAACTGCTTAGCATCCGGTTTTCTTGAAACTTGCAGTGTTACAGAGGGATATATTGATCTCAGGTATAATTCTTGACCGGCTTGTAAATCTTGGTGTCATCCACCAGCACTATGGTTGCCGATGATGGATACAGGACATATATATCCATTCTGTTTCGGTTTATGAAGCCAACAGATCCCTCATTGTTCTATTAGTTGCAGTCTATAATATATATGCATGCTAGAAGAGAACCAAAGCAAGATTCATGTGCCTTTGGAGCTCATATGGACCTGGGCATGAGCTGAACTATTTGTGGGAAAATAAGATTTATTAGTTGTGTACAGGCTGTTAATAGCTAGGGATTTATTGGTTGTGTACAGGCTGCTGTTAATAGCTAGAGATTTACAGGCTACAGGCTGTTAATAACTAGAGATTTATTAGTTATTGCAATCCCTGATTTCTAGGGATCAGTTTTTATTAGCTTCCTAGAATAGCATTATTCTGATGTATATATAAGAGTGTATTCCCAATTCTTTAATCAATAGATTCGATTACCAATTTCAGTAATTTTGTCATGGTATCAGAGCTCTAGGCTCGTTTTCTGGGTAATCGTCTTCTTTTGGCCTTCTTTGCTAGTTCTTTTTTCCTAGTATTCTTGTTCTGTGAAAATCCAATGTTATCAAACCTGTGGATTCCATCTCTCTCTAAATCATGTCAGCATCTACTGAAACCAGCAACACTTCAGAGATTCCTGTAACTGGAAGCAACGGCTCTGTCCCAACAGGAGAATTGCAGAATATCCAGGCAGCGTATTGGTTGAATGGGAAAAATTATCTAAAGTGGTCTCAAATGGTCCGCACGTTCTTGAAAGGAAGAGGGAAATTGAGCCACTTGCTTGGTAATGGTCCAGAGAAGGAGGATCCTAAGTTTGATGCTTGGGATGAACAAGACTCTATGGTTATGTCATGGTTATGGAACTCTATGTTACCAAAAATCAGCGACACTTGTATGTTTTTTAGCACGGCCAAGGAGATATGGGAAGCAGTCAAGCAGACCTATTCCAAAGTACGTGATGCTGCACAGATCTATGAGATCAAGACCAAAATCTCCGCTACCAAACAGGGTAATCGGTCAGTCACCGAATATTCCAACCGGGTCTATGGCAGGAGATAGATCATTATCATTGCATTCAGATGAAGTGCAGTGAAGATGCAGCCATCCTTAAGAGGTTTGTTGAAAAGGACATAATTTATGATTTTCTTGCAAGTTTAAACATCGAATTTGATGCTGTAAGAGTGCAAATACTTGGAAAAGAAGATCTGTCAACCTTAAATGAGGCAATTGCATTTCTTCTTGCTGAGGAAGGAAGAAGAGGTGTTATGATTGAAACTCACACAGTAGAGAGTTCGGCCTTGGTGTCAAAAAAACACGACTATGAAGAATTATGGCTCCGAACAGCGTTTTGGAGAAGGCAATAGGCAAACTGATATGTCAAAACCATTCAACAAGGATTCTCTGTGGTGTACATACTGCAAAAAATCCCGCCATACTAAGGAGAAGTGCTGGAAGCTCCATGGCAAGCCTCAAATTGTGAACAAAGCTTGGTCAGAAAAGAGTGGACAGCTAGGAGGACAGGGACAGGCACATGTGGCAACCACACAATCCAACAGTGAAGACAATCTTTCAATCCCATTTGCTGAATTCAACAAAAAAGAGATAGAGAAATTAAGGAGCCTATTGGGAACGTTGGAGAAACCGTCTACAGCAGGTACTTGTTCTTTGGTGTTCTCAGGTATTTCCTCTCCTTCCCCTTCTTCTCATGTTTTTAGTGCTTCGGATATAGTCTCCTCAAGCTCCTGGGTCATTGACTCGGGAGCTACAGATCACATGACCCATTCCTCAAAAAAATTTATTTCATATACTCCTTGTCCTAGCAATAGGAAAATAATAACAGCTGATGGTTCAGTGACAACCGCGGCTGGTCAAGGAGATGTTTTTTTTAATGACCACCTTACACTTAAGAATGTCCTCCATGTCCTAAAACTATGCACCAATCTTGTGTCAATCCAAAAACTCATTACAGATTCTAATTGCAGTGTGACGTTTTATCCTCTCCGTTGTATATTTCAGGAACAGGGCACGAAGAGGATGATTGGACATGCTAGGGAGAGGGATGGTCTATACTACTTTGAAGAATCAAATGGACAAGATTGAGTTGAGCGTTTGTCACCATTATCATTTCTTTCCGAGTCATTCAAATCCAATAAAGATAAGATATGGCTTCTACACCTTCGTCTTGGTCACCCATCATTTACTGTTCTCAAAATAATGTTTCCTTCATTGTTCAAAAGTTTATCCATTGAAAATTTTCATTGCGACGTATGTGAACTTGCAAAGCACAAACGTACTTCTTTTCAAATTAGCAATAAAAGAACTTCTGTTCCATTTACCTTGATTCACAGTGACATTTGGGGACCTTCCACTAATACTAATATTTCTGGGGCAAGGTGGTTTGTCTCATTTATTGATGATTGCACTCGTGTGTCTTGGATTTTTCTGTTAAAAAATAAATCGGATGTGAGTTCTGTGTTTCCAATTTTTTTCAATATGGTCAAAACTCAGTTTGGTGTGGTGATAAAGAGATGCTGATCTGACAATGCTAAGGACTACTTTAATCAAATTCTCTCTCCGTATTTCCAAAAACAGGGCATAATACATGAATCCTCTTGTGTTAGCACACCTCAACAAAATGGGGTGGCCGAACGAAAGAACGGCCACCTTCTTGATATTACAAGAGCTTTCTTGTTCCAAAAAAATGTTCCAAAACAATATTGGGGGGGGGGGGGGGGGGGGCTGTTTTAACCGCTGCTCATCTCATCAATCAGCTTCCTACAAGAGTCCTTGGTTTTAAAAGTCCAATGCAGGTCCTTACACAGTTCTTTCCCAATTTTAACGCATCTAATAATCTTATTCCAAAGATATTTGGTTGTGTTGCCTTTGTTCATGTGCATTCTCAAAACAAGGGAAAACTTGATCCTCGAGCTCTCAAATGTGTCTTTCTTGGCTATTCCTCCAACCAAAAGGGCTACAAATGCTATCGTCCTCCGACAAGGAGATTTTATGTGTCTGCTGATGTTACTTTTGTCGAACAAGATCAGTACTTTAACGGTCCTTATCTTCAGGGGGAAACATCCTTCATAGAAGATAAGGATAAGGATTTTTTTCTCCTTGAGTTTCCAGCCCCTATCTCTCATCAATCCGAGTCAAACATACTCCCAAACATACAGCCCGAGCCAAACACACGGTCAGAAGCTGAGCCTCATACACCCAAATCACAAGGAGTGTTACATGGGAATCAAACTCGAGACTCTACTCGTCCATTGCAGATTTACTCAAGGAAAAGAGCACCAATCTCTCAACCTGTGCAAGTTCAATCACCCAAATCTGTTCCTGATAATGTCGAGGTAATTACTCAACCCAATGATAACACTAATGAAACCTCTGAACAAAATGATTATGATGTCCCTATTGCAAATGGAAAAGGAACTAGAACTTGTACCAAACACCCTCTTTATCTATTCATGTCATATAAGAATCTTTCTCATAACTATAGGGCCTTTCTTACTAGCTTAAATACAGTCCATATTCCCAAAACTTTATCCAATGCATTAGGAAATGAGAATTGGGAAAATGCTATGAAGGTTGAAATGGAAGCACTTGAGAAAAACAAGACTTGGGACTTGGTGAGACTGCCTAGAGGGAAGAAGCCGGTTGGGTGTAAATGGGTGCTCACAACCAAATACAACTCAGATGGCTCTTAGGAAAGGTGTAAGGCAAGATTAGTTGCCAAAGGGTATACACAAACCTACGGCATAGATTATCTTGAGACTTTTGCTCCGGTTGCTAAGATGAATACTGTGAGAATTCTGTTATCAGTGGCTGCAAATTTTGGCTGGAGATTACAGCAATTTGATGTCAAGAACGCCTTCTTACATGGCGATCTTGAGGAGGAGATCTATATGGAGATTCCACCTTGGTTTGGCTCAAATGAAAAGGAAGGAATGGTATGCAAGCTTAAAAAAGCTTTGTATGGACTGAAACAATCCCCAAGAGCTTGGTTTGGGAGATTTACCAAAGTGATGGTGAGTATGGGATATAAGCAAAGTCAAGGTGATCATATATTGTTTGTAAAACAGTCAACATCAGGGGGAGTGACAGTATTGTTGGTCTATGTGGATGACATCATAGTCATAGGAGATGACTTGGAAGGAATGGAGAGTTTGAAGAAACAGTTAGTGAAGGAATTCGAGATCAAATAGCTAGGAAAACTGAAGTACTTTGTTGGTATTGAAGTAGCCCACTCTCGGCAAGGGATTTTTATATCACAACAAAAATATGTGTTAGACTTGTTGGCAGATACAGGCAAGCTGGGATGTAAGCCAGTTGAGACACCTATGGAGTCAAACCACAAACTTTGTGATGCTCCAGAAGACATGGCCGTGGATAAAGGCTCTTTTCAGAGACTTGTGGGGAAGTTAATTTATTTGTCACATACCAGGCCGGATATAGCTTATGCTGTGAGTGTTGTGAGTCAATTCATGCACAATCCCAAAGAATCACATCTCAAAGCTGTGTATAGAATTCTGCAGTACTTGAAGAGTACGCCAGGAAAAGGAATTCTGTTTAAGAAAGGGGAAGGACTGACTCTTGAAGCCTACACAGATGCAGATTATGCAGGATCCGTGATTGACAGAAGATCAACCTCGGGCTATTGCACCTTCCTAGGTGGTAATCTCGTTACTTGGAGAAGCAAAAAACAGAATGTGGTTGCAAGGTCCAGCGCAGAAGCTGAATTTAGAGCGATGGCACTCGGGATATGTGAACTGCTATGGCTAAGGATAATCCTGGAAGATTTGAGAGTCAGATGGGAAGGTCCAATGAAGCTTTACTGTGATAATAAATTAGCCATCAATATTGCACACAATCCTGTGCAACATGACCGCACAAAACACATTGAAGTGGATAGGCATTTTGTTAAAAAGAAGTTGGATAGTGGCCTCATTTGTACTCCTTTTGTTCCTAC